TTATGTTAGGGTACTCATACTATGGAGTAATTTATCATTGTACACAACAAATTTGTACACTTCTATACCCTTATTTTTTTTATGGAGTTTTTTTGTCATTAGGAGGGGTATTTTTAGTCATTAGAAGGGGTGTGATGTCATCTATATAAGATGTGACAGCATCCACATGAAGCATTAAATGCTAATAGTGTGCTGCATGTGGGTAAATTAACACCCCATATGGATGACATCACACCCTCTTAATTTTAAAAAATACCCTTACTAAAGAAAAGCTTCATGTACAAACAAAGGTATAGGAGTGTCCAAATTATGAATACGTTTTTAATATGTGGATGCCTTAAATTTTATGTAATTTTAATTTGTAAAAAAAAATTAAAATTTCAATACAAGATGTAGTTATGGCTGTCTGATCGGCTTAGATTCAATTTAAGCCCAATGGCTTATTCTATTCCATTAGCCCATAGGCTGACAAGATCGTTTCCCATATGACAATTTCTGAGGTACGCCCATTAGCTTATCACTACAATAAATGCCCAATGGCCCAAATTAAATACCTTTGAAACTTTGAGGGATATTTTGATCAATTCTTTTTTACAAATAATTTTTTAATATATAAATGACTTAAATTTCATGCGATTTGGATTTGTAGAAAAAAATTAAAATTTTTATAGAAGTTGCATTCATAGCCATTTGATCGGCTTAGATTCAATTTAAGCCCAATGGCTTATACTATTCCATTAGCCCATGGGCTGACAATATTTTTTTCCTTATGGCCCAAATTGAATTTGAGCCACTTTGATTGTAATTCGTCTTTCAATGTTAATATTTTTTCTAAAAATCTAAATTCAATTGAAATTTCCACTCCTCTCATTAAGAAACATCTAATAAAAATATCAGATAAATAATTTTTAAAAAAATAAAATTGATAAAATGCCCCTAAAACTTTTAGGAGTATTTTGGTCAATTTATTTTTTACAAATTATTTTTAATATTTTTTATTAATGCGCCTATTTTTCAAGAGTTGCTTTTCTAAATTTCAAGTGATTTGAATTTGTAGAAAGAAACTTAAAATTCAATTATCACCATACGATCCGCCCATATTCAACATGGCAAATTGGGCTTATACTATCACATCCTTGGGCTGACAAGATCTTTATTAGAATGGTAACATATTGTTCTTTAGCTTGGTTCGAATGGTAACATATTGTTCTTCAGCTTGGTTCGATCAATATTGACCTACTAAAAGCAGTTCTCTGTTCGGTTTTGGAATTAGACTACATTGGGCCAAAGACATTCGCTTTGGAATGAGACTGCACTTTAACATACAGCATTGGCTGACCCACCAGAACCCCATCCATAAAACTAACCATGAAATTGACTATAGCTATGCACTATCAAAACCTCATTGATGATTATGAATTAATTCAATTACTACCGTTCATGCCCAGCCGAACATATTGTATATTTACTCCCTCAGGCAAAATAATAGATTTTTTTTTTAAGAAATTTTGGGATTCACTTGAGAATCATCATATAATTATTTTCAAAAGGAAGTTCAGATTTTGAGTTCTTAAACATCTAGCTTTAGTTGTCCAAAAACCAAAAGATATCCCATTAATCTTAAGACATTACTTTTCTAGGCACATACATAGAGCATGTGATTTTCTTCTACTGCTTTGCTTGAGAATTTTACTAGGTTGAAGAGATTATATTGAAATACTTTGATAAGTGAAACTAGGGCGTAAATATGATAAATTTACAACACTTGGCTTGCACTAGATTTTTTTATTTCCAAGAATGAAGAGAAGCTTTCTCCATACAATATTTGCTCTTATTAATACAAGTACAAATTTTCAAGGCAAATTTGTTTTTGGAATACATGGGAACATAAGATGGACCACTTATTTGCCCATTTAAATGCATAAGAGCAACATGGCCACCGATCACCGAGTTGCTTCATTTTAGAGAAAGAAAATTTGCAAAATAGAGATCATTGTCGGGAAAAACATCATTTTAAAAGAAATTTGTGTCTTCAACTTCTTCAAGTGTCTTCCGCTGTGGGAACAATGTCATTAGTGCCTTCCCCTTTATCTGGATTATAGCACATTTGTGGGAGCATGCTTATGTCAAATTAAACTCATCTATGCAACCCAATAACACGTTAGCATACTTCTGCTATGAAACACGCATATTTGCGATATCACACTTTATCTGTACATTTGAATATCACATTATATTGATGTGAGATTAACTTTAGTTGAAGCATGTTTACCACAACAAAAGTTAGGCGAATGAACCTAAACTGCATCTTAGCATGGGCTAAAGGTGATTCAGGGACGAGGGAGGGAAGATGAGAAAGAAATAAATAACTCAGAAAATAAAAAATATAATAATAAAGGTTTTAGAATATACCCACTCTTAGGATCTGCAATAGAATATACCACAAAGGTCTCTTAACAAGATCAAAAATAATTTCTTTCTTCTGTATTACCTCTTGATGCAGAGAAGATGGAGGGAAGATGTGAAAGAACTAAATAAATCAAAATGTAAAAAATACTAATAAAAGGATGAAAGAATAGACCCTCGTTTAAGACTAAATAAATCAAAACATAAAAAATACTAATAAAAAGATGAGAGAATAGACCCTCTCTTAAGATTTATAAGAGAGTCCAACCAAAAGATATTTTCACAAGTTCAAAACCAATTTCTTTCTTCTCCACTACATTTTTTGATCTAATTGTTACATACTTACAAAAGAAAAAAGGAAATCTAAAACTTGACTGTTCTCTAAAAAACCCTAATCAAATCCTAACCCTTCAATTTTTTTTTTAAATTAAACCTTCCATTCTACTCATGTAATCTCTCCAACCAAAAAAAGATAAAAAAAATTCTAAAGAAAACTAGAACCTCAAACCTAAAATTTACAAAATACTAAATTAACAATATTTAAAAAAATTTATTGCATCATTCTTTTGGGGTTGGAGGAATCTCAACCTTGAGCTTCTAGAATCCATCATACCTTCTATAAGCCATTTAAATAATTAACGATGGAATATCACCATTTGCCTAGGCACATTGTCTTTTTCAATAATAAAAAAAAATCAAATGCTTGATACCAACTTGTAAAAGACTTCTAGAATACCTAACTTAACATTGATTTTTCCTTCGATATCAAACGGTAATATTTCACATGTCGTAATACATATTTTCTTCTTCATAATTGATTTTTGAAATCTCTAACACTTTTGGGGTGTTGTCAATATTTTTTATATTGAGACTTGCCTTTTCGTGTTCTTGTTCCTCATATATTACTCTCCCAAGGTCTTCTTTGAGTCTCTCAAATATTTAAACTATACACTCCAAAACTGGATCACATGATGTTTACAGTAGTATCATGATATATAGATCTCAAGGCTCTGATACCACTTGATGTAAGGAAGATGGGAACGAAATAAATAAATTAGAAAATAAATAAATAATAATGAAGGATTGAGAGAATATACCATCTCTCAAAGTCGGTAAGGGAGTTCATTCCAAAGATCCCTTTATAAGATCATAAGCAATTTCTTTATTCTCCACTACGTTTTTCTAATCTAATGTTTACATATTTATAAAAAAAAGGAAGCCTAAAACTTAACTTGTTCCCTAAGACCCAATCAAAGCTAAACCTTTTATCTTTTCACAAATTAAACTTTCAATTGTACCCTAAAATCTATATATATAAAAAAAGACAAAATAACCCAAAAGAATCGTTCTTAAGATTTATTAAAACAAAAAATAAAAATATTTAAAAAAACCCACTACATTATAAGGGTTCCTCTGAGCCGATGCAAGCATGTGAAATACAAAGTGCACATCAAGCTTTACATATGCTCTACATACATGTCTGCATGTGTATTGTATGCTCCACATATGCGCTATTTCTATGTAAGGTGTCTTCCTTATATTGTAAGGGTAAGGCAAACTTCTAAATTTTGTCTAGATATGTAATTCTAGTATTACAAATATTTTGATGGCTCGAAAATCTATTTTTATATGTAATTATAAATTTGAAAATTTAAAAATAGTAACAATTGAGTATATACATAAAAATATTGAACATTTTGAAAATAGATAGTCTATATGAATTATTATAAAATGTGCTATTTTTAAGATTTGAAATTCTTTTTTCTCGATCCATACATCTTAAGATCGAGATGATCGAACTTGAAGTTTTTTTAACACCATAACACTCTCTATTAGAGGATTTTTTATGTCTACCTTACTTAAATAGTATAAAATTGGCACCTTATAATTTTTTTTCCTTAATAAATACATAAGCTATTTTATAAATGTAGAAAACGACTGAAATGGACGATTTTACATAAGGGGTGGTTTGCAACGGTAAAAAACTGATTTGAAATAGAAGATTTTGGATAAATAATAAAGAAAATCGTGTTTTTGTAATGGTAAAATATGGGTGCAGTTTGTAAAGAGCCTAGGCTTTAAACAATCAAATTAAAGCCTACCTTCAAATAGTATCGACAAATATGGTTTCAATATTAAAGATTTTTGTGATAGCCTTAAAGTACATTTTCATATTTATTTATAAAGTTTGAATTTAAAAAATAGTGTAGATCGACATACCTATGAAAGCTTGAATATCTTGTAAATTGATGATCTAAGAATGCGTTATAAAATATACAATTTTTAAAACTTGCAATCTATTTTTTTCTAATGCCCATGTATCCTAATGTCGAAAATAATCAATTTAGAGATATTTAGGCATCAAAACAACCACTTCTAATAAAATATTTTTGAGGTAGGCTCAAATTGGATGGTTTAAGGCCTGGGCTCTATATAACTTTTCTCGTAAAAAATATTTACCCAAGTAGAACAGATTGAATACATGGTTAATAAAGTCCGTAACACGTCACACATGGCAAGACCACCAACCCCAACCTGTCCGCCTTTATTTTAACCAACCTTACTTCACCACTACAACTTTATCCTCTCTCTCTCACTACTAGAAATTTACCCTATTTTCTCTCTCCACTACTACAATTTTACCCTTCTCTCTCTCTACAAGGGCCTGCCTCCCTGGGTCTGAGAGCGAACATTGTAGAGCAGAAGGCAAAGCAATGTTTTACTCTCAGGGTTTACTCAGCAGAGATGGACCTTTGGGCACCATTTGGGTTGCCTCTCATCTTCATCGAAAGCTCAAAAAAGCCCAGGTAGCCAACACAAGTATCTCCTCCTCTGTCGGTATGTACCTCTCTCTCTCTCTTCATTTTCTTTTTCTTGTCTCTCTCTGAACTTGGAAGTTCTGAACCCGCGCGAAATTGTTTTTGTCGTGAAAATGGATAGACCTAGACATACCGAAAAGAGTAAAAGAAAGTTTAGACCTAGATATGTTAAGAAAGGAGAACATTATAGGGAGGAGTTCGGAATTGGTGTAGCATTACTCCAGAAACATGACTGATGCATGGACTCTTGAGCAGAAGAGGTAATAAGGCCGGCTTCTTGTTCCTTCCGACGACCGAGCTTGCTGGGCTACGGAGAAAAATGGCTTGTGAGGGGCTTGCAGAGAGCAAAACAAATTAGGGAAAGGGTTGGGAAATGAGTGGGGAAACATGAACTGTGAGCAGGAGTTCTGTTGTTTTTTAATGGACGAGATTCATGTGGGTGATTCTGCTTATGTCTATATGGGCTATATAACATCAAGAGAAAGAGTTGTTTTTTTTCCTGGGAACTACTGTACATACACAATGTTACACTTTCTTGCTAGGCAAAGGCATGTCTTTTCAGAAATAGAAATTGATAGGAGTTAAAGGCATGGTGGGGGTGATATACAGGGAGCTTGCAACCAAACAATGTTGTTTGCAATGTTTTTAAACTTGGCTCAGGCCTCAGAGTCGGGCCTGGCCCGACCTGAGAAGTTTGGCCAAGACTGTCATGTACTGGGCCCAAGAGCCCTGAAAAATTAAAACAATTAAAAAACATTGTTAGAAAATAAAATAAACTCTTTAAAAGTGAAACAAAACAAAAAACAGCATAAAAAAGTCCAAATAAGCTGAAAACATTTATATAAAGCATGAATTTAGAATAAAATTGGCTTACTGTTGGGATACTTCAGAAATATCCAAAAAAAAGAGAAAAATACATATGGGCATATCAGAAGAAAAATTCACAAATCATTGTAAAAAAATCCAAATTACGTATATTATTTTTACACAATGATTTCACAAATTTATATAAGTTTTTTTATTTGTTTTTATATGCTCAAGCTGTACCTGAGTACTCAACTTGGCATGGGGGCTGAGTGTGAGTAAATTGGCTGAGCCTGAGGAACTTGGCTGAGTACATGTGGATTCAGTCGAGTAGTATAAAAACTGGTTGTGTGTCTACATTAGACTGCAGACATTGCTGGAAAGAGTGTGAGCTCATGCCCAAAGGTGTGTGGTCTACATTGGACTGTAAAATGTTCAAAGGAGGATAACATGTATGTTAATTGCCATGATATCCGATCCTTGTGTTATTATCAAATAGGAAGAGTGAAAGATCAGCCTCTCCTCGGAGGTTCATAATTTCATAATATACCTCGTTCTTTACTGTTCTTCATCAAGGTGTTCTTGTAAGTTATGTTTACTTTTGGTTTTGGGCGTAAGGATTTGTGTTAAATGCTTCTCATATTCAGTAATGACATCAATGCGTTGGTTTGTGATTGTATAATATGATATGGTGTGATGCTCGACCTAACTATTAGATTTGAGGACTGTATCTTGTTACATATTTTGTGTGTCTATTCCCAAGAGGAAATGCACCACCTTGAAAATTAGTTGCCAAATCTCATAACATTGCTTCCAATAAAAGTTTTTGTAAGCCCTGATCACTATGGGATAAAGAATTTTAGAGAGAGAGAGAGGATTTTTTGAAAAATAATTGTGCCCCACACACACTGGTGGTTCTTTGATTACTATATATAATGCTGATGCTATGGTAAAAGAGTATTATTTGTATACAATTTGCACTATCAACACTTTCCTTTTTATTACGTTATATAATGTACATTCTCCTATCGTGTTACATTCTCTTAGAGTTTCTTTGTATGTTTGTGCATGATTGCCTTAAAAAGGAAATGTCAATATTTTTATTTGTGGCCTTTCCAAAAACTGTGAGTGTTGAATTTGCCTTTTTAAAAACTATTGAGTGTTAGATTTTATTTCTATTACTCCCCCTCAAACTCGGCTGAGGAGATATTTGAAGTCCGAGTTTGAAGCAAAAATCTTGAAAAACATCTCGTGGCATAGGCTTGGTGAAGATATCAACGACTTGGTTGTGAAAGGAAACCAAATGAGTGATAAGTAATCCAAGAGCAACCTTTTCATACACAAAATGATAGTCTAACTCAATGTGCTTTGTCTACGCAAGCATGATTAACTGTGTGGAGTGCACTAATATTGTCATTGGGAAAGAGGCACCCAATATCTGAAAGAATAAAAGAAAGCCAAGTCAATTCTACATCAATAAATGACATAGATCAGTATTCAGCTTCAACACGTCAATGAGCCATAGTCGATTGTTTCTTAGCAGTCCAAGATACGCAGTTAGAATCAAGATTGATGCAGAAACCAGTCATTGAATGGCGTGTGTTTGGACAACCAATCCATTTTTCATTAGAGAGAGAATGTAACTCAAGAGAACTAGTAGATAACTTCGCATACCAAAATATTTTGAAATAATGAAGAATCCACTTAACTGCCTGAAAATGTGCAATTGTAGGGGCATGTATAAAGAGATGGATCATAATTCACATGAACATTATTTTTTGTTGTCATTGGTGTTGAAATCGGTGTGGCATCTAAGCATGATCAAGAAGATCTTGGGCATACGTGGTTTGTGATAGAAAAATTCCACCTGGAAATAAGATACCTCTATGCTAAGAAAATAATAAAGAGATCCTAGATCTTTCATTGCAAAGTCCCTTCTGAGTTAGGAAATAAACTATTCTAGAAGATCTGAATTATCGCTTGTAACAATTATATCATCAACATAGAGGAGAAGGATAAGATTGCCATGCGGAAAGTGACAAATAAATAGAAATTAATCTGCTATAATGTAATAGAAGCCCGGTTGTAACAAGAAGGCACTAAGTTGATCAAACCAAGCCCAACATCTTGCTTGAGACCATATAAAACTTTCTTTAATTTGCAGACATGATTTAGATAATTGAGCCGACAAAGCTAGGAGGCTGCTCCATAAACACAGGTTCCTTAGGAAAGCTATGCAGACAAGCATTTTCACATCAAGCTGTTTGATAGGCTAGTGACACACAATAGCTATGGTAAACATAATCCGAATACTAGCAGGCTTAATAACATGACTAAATGTTCAGAGAAATCAACTCCAACAGCTTGATTATATCCTTTAGCAACCAGTTTGGCCTTAAGTCTCTCTAGACTGCCATCAAACTTTAGTTTAGTCTTATATATCCAATGACAACCAACGACATTGATACCTAGAAGATGTGGAACTAGCTCCCAAATAGAATTAACATTTAGAGTTTCAATTTCCTCTTCCAATGCATGATGCTAACTTGGATGACTCAAGGCTGACTTTATGGACTTCTGTTCAACAAGAATATATCCAACAATTGTAACATTTGAGGCTGCTGCTGCTAAAGATGGTAAGGCTTGAGGTTTTCAAGTACCATCTTGAGTTCTTGTGACCTTCTGGTGACAAGGAGGCTCATGAACTTGTGTCGAAGCAGATGAATGAGAATTAGCTTGGTTGGTTTCTTGGGTGACGTCATTTTCATCATTCAAGGTTGGTGTGATGTCTTCCCCAAGACCATTAGTATGTGTGACATCATCTTGCCCCCTTGCATTGGTGTTATGTTGGTGACATCTTCCTCTAGAGGAGAAGCTGGAGAACTATCATTGTTTAGGGGCAAATTACGGCATTGGTTAGTAGACACATCTGGAACATCCCTTATGGGTGGTTGATGTGGAGGTGATAAATCAAGAAAGGAAGAAATCTGTACATCGGGTTCATAACACTCAAACCATTATGCACAAGTGAGGAGCTTCCCCTGAACCTTGAGCATTATCAAATGAAGAATTAAGATTAGCATAAGGATAAATATTTTCATCAAATACAATATGTTCAGAGATGCGTACTCGTAGACATTTGTAGCCCTTATGGTATATATTATGTATTAAAAGTACACATGGAAGAGAGTTGAGACAAAATTTTGTTTTATAGTATAGTCTCAATGATATGGAAACCACCGACAACCAAATACTCGAAGGAGGAGTAGTTTGGTAAGCGGCTAAATAATAGTGAGTATGGTGCATCTATGTTAAATTGGTAGAGGGAATCCTATTGATAACAAATACTACAGTATGGAAGGCTTCACCTCAAAAACAATAGGAATTCCTGCATGAAACATCATTGTAATCCCTAATTCTAAAATATTTATATGTTTCCTTTCAACTTTTTCATTTTGCTCGGGGGTTCCCCGACATGATAATTGTTGCATGATTCCATTATTATTAAGATGATCAATAAATTCTTTCTTTGCAAATTCACCACCTCCATCACATTGAAAATTTTAAATTCTTTTATCAATTCTCTTTTCAACCATAGGATGAAATTTTACAAATGCAGTGAAAAATTCAGATTTTCGTTTCAAAGGAGAAATCCAAGTAAAATGAGTATAATCATCAACAAATACCACAAAAAATCGACAACTCTGATTAGATAAATTGGAGCAGGCTCCCATAAGTGTGAATGAATATTAAAAAGAGGTTCAATAGAGGTTTTATCAACACCACTAAATGGAAGTTTTCAATTTTTTCCCATCTAATAGCTAGCACAAACAAAATGGAATTTATTCCATACATCAATATTAATAAACTATTTAGATTCTAAGTAATAAGCAACTTTTTTTGAGGATTTCCATGGCGTTGATGACACACATCTTCTGATGTTCTTTTATTCCAAGAAGTGAACAAAGCTTGCTTCGCTTCCCTAAGTGTGTACAATCCTCGCTTTCTACTCTTGCTGGCCAAAGTTCTTCCTCTGCTCTCATAAGTGTGAATAAATCTTAAAAAGAGGTTCAGTAGAGGGTTTATCAACACCACTAAATGGGAGTTTATTCAATTTTTTCCCATCTGACATCTAACACATATAGAATGGGATTTATTCCATGCATCAACATTAATCAATTATTTAAATTCTATGTAATAAGCAACTTTATTTTG